AGTGTGTTCTTCTATCTTTCTGCTTCTTTCTATGAGTGCCGATCAATACATTTTCTGTTACTTTATTAATAAACACTAGAAGAAGGGGCGAAATCGATATATATACCCTACCGTAATTACGCATGTAATAGCCGGCACTATTTTAACCGGAAAATGCTGATGACAAATAAGGTGCGGCTCATACAAGTGTGTTCGAGATATTAGGCCGTGTCCGCCAGCATTGATACCTAGCATATTGGCAGACCACTGTTTTTCTGCTCCTGAAGGTCGCCAAAAACGGCCAATTACTGCATTTATTATACCACTTTTGTGGTGTAATAAGGGATGTCTTTGAGTCTGAGGTTTTTCGGCTGCATGGCTAGTGCTGTCGCCACGGACTGTGCAGGTGAGGATTTTATTTTGCCCCCGACAGAAAATAAATCAACAGCCTTACCGAGGATTCAAACCCGGTTCTTCTGCTTTAAGAGCCCAGCGTTCTAACCGTTCGACCAGCCGCTTCTCCCTTCACCACCTTTTTCACTGTTTCGTCTTTTGTTCTTACATTTAACCAGCATCCCCGAAGGAGAATCTTTAGGTTATAATTGTGACTAGGTTATGTGCGCCATAAGAGCCCTGAAAAGGACTCCTGCAGTGTTGATGCAACCAAAGGAGACAGACTCAAATACTGTCCCAACCAACGACGAAGTCGTCTACCGGCGAGCCAATGGGCGACCAGGTCGCCGATGTTGTTTCACCTGTCATATCGAAGAATATTTAAGTCTACGAATAACTTAACACCCATTCTCATTTCCATTACTCGTGACCCAACCGTTATTTGAAACGTTGTCTAAACGAATTTTCTCAATTGATTTGTTTTTCATTGAGCTTTCACTGAATGGACAAATGTATTATCTGTCCTCTTGTAAACGACAGCTTGTGATAACGCATTTGCAGATTTAAAAAGCCTACCACGCTGGACTTCAGGTTACTTCGCAACCGTTTTGTGGTGCCCCAGTACAACTGCTGAATAGTAAGTGGGTTGCACGGGGTTTGGGGTTTTTGCGTTTCTAATTGCCCCTATTGGCAACTTGTGTTTTCTGTTGACTTAGGAACATGTCTTGGAAACGCATACAGTTTCTCCGGCTAGGTATCGGGAAGTCGCTGCTACATGATGTCTGCTGCCGGATCACAAGGTCATTTTGTGTCCCCCAAAAGCGAGTTGCCCAGTCATAACTGGTTTTTAATTCAGCTGAGGAATTCCCTTGCTATCTGATAATTGTCGCGCTTGAAACTGTAACATTTCCAGGCCACAGAAAATCGGTCTGCTGGTATTTTCTTCACAAATTCCAGCAGACGACTGGTTTCTAATTCCAGGTATTTCATCTTCTTATTATGAAAAGATCGTCGACTTTAGAATGTTTTTGTAACATCATCTTTCACTCAAGTCCATCTTCACACATTTTATCATCCACATCGAACTCTCTTTAGCTGCTCGGATTATATTCTTCTTGCGCATAACGCAAAACTTGCAGCTTAAATTTACACCATCTTTCACTGCTTACAGTTACCACTGTTTCGGTTTTGGTGTGCCTATGAAATTCTAGTAACAGAAAGTATTGTGAACGGCACTCATAGAAAGAAGTAGAAGTTGGGTTAAATGAATTTTGTCCGTATTCCATAGTCGTGAATTTCAAGCTGTACAATAGACATGGCCAGTAAGACACCTTTTTTTGGGGGGTGCCTAGTTGACCATGTATCTTAGTGCACTTGTATTCATGGCGAGGCGCAGACGCCGTCTGGAGGTGACAGGTTCAATTCCCGGCACGGTAACTATAGCTTTCGATTTTTATATTGTCTAGTATGTTCTTCTATCTTTCTACTTCTTTCTTTGAGTGCCGTTCACAATACTTTCTGTTACTTGATTAATTCATAATATTTAACGGCCTCAAATGGTTCCCCGCTCTGTTTATTTATAGCGATGAAATTCTAAGAAAATCATTTGTTCTTTCCAGAATTATCGTCCCAGACACTGGGTGCTGCGTGTACACGTGTACCTGAATGTGGTAATTATTAATAGCATGGGCCATGCCAAGAGCGCAGGCGATGTCACATCTGCGCAATACCGCTTGTTCTACGTATCCTGAGTATGTTTCCACGCAGCTTTCCTAACTCATCCCTTTTTTGTCACGTCACTTTCTAACACCCTTGATCATCCAAGCTGGCATAGCTTTCCCTAATCCTGATCGCTTCGTAAAGAAGGGAGCTTCAAATGAAAACATTAAAAGTGTGATTGAAGTGACAATAATCATGTCTTGTAACGTGTCACTCTTGTTGGTAATTAAGGATGTTAAGAGTGATAAGCATGTAGCAACACGTGCAGATGAACACGGTGAAGTCATAATGACGATCTTAATATGACCGCCCCACTTTTGACATGCATCAAAAAGCAGTAGCGTTCTGTTTTCCGTTTTTTTGGATCAATGGAGGGTAAAACCTACTATATGCATTATTCACGTGATAACCCATGCTTAACACTCTTGGCATCCTTAACAGCAATATAGACAGGTTATAAGACAATGGCTTGGTTATTGTAATTTATATAGTAATTTTAATTTTGTTATTTAAAGCCAGCTACTATATTTGTTCACCCCTCATTTACACGCACATATATACAGACACACACACACACACTATATATATATATATATATATATATATATATATATATATATATATATATATATGCGTGTGTGTATATAGACTGTATATAGCAGAATATATATTATTAATACGAGAGTTGATTTCAGTTTTTTTTTATGCACGTCTGTGTTAAAACTGCCTCAATATGGTTATCATTGAATCGACTCCTCACACTTGCTGCCCCTTGTCTTAACGCCCCGTCAGCGGAAACCTCAACACGGGGTTTTCGTTAACCTGTGAGCACACACAGAATATAGAGACTTTCTGTTCTTTCCTGTACGTCATACAGGCGTGATGAACCATTGATGTGCCGCGGTGTGTTGCGTTTGTGGCTGGCCTGGTTTTCATTGATCTCCCATCTGTGGCTTACCTGGTTAGTTAGATAAACTTCTGAAGTGTCCGTATGTTTGTGGGATGTTTTTGATATCCCTGAAGATGATCTAGCTTGTGTGTTTGTGCTTGCGTAATTTCAACGAATCTATCTCGTTATTTTTAGCTTTCATTGTCTATCTATCTATCTATCTATCTATCTATCTATCTATCTATCTATCTATCTATCTATCTATCTATCTATCTATCTATCTATCTATCTATCTATCTATCTATCTATCTATCTATCTATCTATCTATCTGTCTGTCTGTCTGTCTGTCTGTCTGTCTGTCTGTCTGTCTGTCTGTCTGTCTGTCTGTCTGTCTGTCTGTCTGTCTGTCTGTCTGTCTGTCTGTCTGTCTGTCTGTCTGTCTGTCTGTCTGTCTGTCTGTCTGTCTGTCTGTCTGTCTGTCTGTCTGTCTGTCTGTCTGTCTGCTGTCTGTCTGTCTGTCTGTCTGTTTTTCTGTATGTCTGCCTATCATAGTGCTTATCTCCAGTGATCCTCCGGCTGCACTGTCCCTCCGTCTTTTTCGTTCTCTGTCTGCCACCCCCCAACTATATCGTCCTCCATCCTTTTTTTCCCTGTCCCAGCTGAGTGAGGTGCTCACATATTTTAAACCACTGCTAAATCAGGTGTCGAAACTAGTATCTCTCAACATTCTCTCTCTCTCTCTCTCTCTCTCTCTCTCTCTCTCTCTCTCTCTCTCTCTCTCTCTCTCTCTTTGTGTGTGATGTCTCGTTTATAAAACTATTAGCTTGGAAACCTACGTGTCAGTTATTTTTTTACCATTAGGCCATCAACGTTAGCAGTTTTCACTTTTGCCATTAAATGTCCTGGAGAACAGTTAACGATCTATTACTTGATGGGTAGCACGTATCAGTTTTTAAGTCTTTAATGTCATCAGTCCGTATGGTTATGGGACTACCTCTTGATTTTGCATCAAATCATTTCACACCTAACGCCTGCAATGGTAGCTGTTCTCGCTGTATTCTATAGAGATCTGTTTCTTGGTGGATTTAGTGCATGATGTTGTTTCCACATGTTGTTGTCTGATAGTATATCATTTCTCACGTTGTCTCGGATTGTTAATTTAGCGGCTTTCCTCTGGCATCTCATTTCACAGGTGTTAATTGTACGTAGGTTAGCCTTTGATAATGTCCAGGTCTGGCACTGGTAGCACAGTTCTGGTATGAATTTGCTGTTAATAATATGTTTCTTGGCGGTCATACATAACATAACCTTTGATCCATTAGAGGTCGTGGAGGTGTACTGATGGAAGCACTAGCACATAAAATCTGCTATCTTTCTCTTCTTCCGCCTGATGTCCATTTCTTGATGTTGTCATTCCAGGTTCTTCTTTCCCTCCTCTTCGACCCCCCCCCCCCCCCCCCCAATTTTCCTTGAAGTACATAGTCTTTGCAATCGAATCATGCCTCACTACGTGCCAAAACCAAGCTAGCTTGCGACGTTTCCCCACTGCCAAGAGAGGCTTCTGATGTTCTGCAAAACTGTATATCTTGTCTTTGACATGTTTATTAGCTTTGTGTTCTGAAAAACTAACTCGTAAAATGTGTCTATGCGTATGCTTGAATTACTAATAACAGCGTGGGTTGATATATAAGTGCGTTGATAGATAAGTGCAGTGATTCGTTGACACCTTGCTTCTTTTTTGCCGATCTTTCTCCCATCCTCTGAGAATATACTTCGTAGATATTTAACTTCTTCAACTTGCTTTTTAGACCAGTACCGTTCAACCTTACATGTAGCGGCTATGAATTCTGATGGCCCGTTTTACTTCGGCTTTAGCCATATTTACTTTCAAGTTATATCTTCTGCATGCTGAAGTTAGACATTAGGCTATATATTATGTCATAAATATGCAGCTAAAAGTGTTATTATGTTACTATTGCATCATCTGTTTACCGTTCTTTTGTATTTGTATATTGACAG